TATTCTTAGGTACAGCAGAAATGTAAATGGGCGGATCCATCAATGTCATGCTCATAACTGTGCCTGAACTGCATACAGGAAACTGCTGCATTTTCTTTCCTAATTCTTACTATGGTCATTTGCCTCTACTTCTTCCGTATGTTTGTCACAGTCTTGTGACCCGCTATTTCCTTGACAGTCGAAGCAGACTTTGCGCTGTTGAAGCTAGAGAGGTGAGCAGAATAAGCCTGATTCCCTGTAAGGACTTCTCTGTTGACACCCACCCCTTGACGCTCATATGACCTTATACAGTTGCGAGCGCCGTAAGACCTTACTAACTCTAGAACCAAACCCCAGCACAGGTTGGCCTGTGTAGGTCTGGCTCGCCTCAAAACTGAGCTACAGAGGACGCACTAAATGTCTGGTGGAGGTATAAACTGACACAAATCGTGAATGGACTAGTGGAAGAAGACAAGAATACTCCGGGATGAATATCGTTCTTTTGGAAAATTTTATGGAAGCATAGTCTTGGTTGAAGCAAATGATAGAAGACAGCTTATGATGAATATAATAAGAAAGCGACAGGCAAATTTCATTGGACATACAATGCGGAAAGAATCATTGGAGAATATCGTAACAACAGGCAAATTTGATGGAAAGAGAAGCAGAGGCAGACAGAGGAAAAAGATACTGAACAAGTTGACAACATTGCTGGGAACAGCAAGAACGACAGACACCATCGCTGCAACGCAAGACAGAGTGAAGTGGAGGTCCGTGATGGCACACGCCAGTCGGCAAGGCTCCGGATGATGATAATGGAAGCATAATTGGTCGTTTTTAAACACAACGGGGCTATCTAAAAAAATGCTGTTTTGAGAAAATCAAAGGTAAAGTTTTTGGACCGTTGTTCAGTTTCTTTAAAAGACAAGGAGAGTTTTCTCTATAACCAAACAAATATACACACAAAAGAAACCAAAATTCTCCTATAGGTAGGGCAATGCCCACTTTTGGTGTAGGTCAAGATTTCTGGAAACTCCCGACATCTGGGTTAGCGACGTGTCCTAAAAAGCGACCAATTATTTCCAAACACAGTGTAGAAGTGTCTAGATGTACACTGTCACCCTCAAACGTGCACAAAGGAAAGTTGTCTATAAACTCCTTAGACTACTGCAGACTCAATGATATACTCAATGATTCATTCATTGATTTATGCAAAGGATTCCTCAATGATTTTCCCAATAATTGACATAGCCTAATGATTGCCCCAATGATTGAACCAATGATTGCCCCGAAGATTGACCTACTCAATAGCCCGGTTGACATTGTCCGGAGAGTGGTTGCTGTCTGGCACGTCGTCGTCCAGGTAACCTGTCTTCTCTAGGAACACCTGTATGTGGGGGTGGGGGTGGGGGAGAAAGGCTGTTAGTTGCAGTAGTAGCAGTTAGAGTTTTAGGGCACTTGTAACACAAATGGGTCTCATAAATCGTACCTACAAAACCATAACATGTGTGGTAAATCCATACCATTGTCTTGTGGGGGCAAACCAACACGAGCCTAACCCCCCCCAACCCCCAGGGCGGTGCCACTGACTGGAGTGTCTTTAGGACATTCCCAAAGGGAGGACATTTCTCGTTCTAATGCACAGTAGAATTGTAAATAGGCTGATCTAACAATGTCATGCTCATAACTGTGCCTGATCTACAGCAGGGAACTGCTGCTTTTTCTTTCCTAATCCTTACTATCGTCCTTTTTCCTCTACTTCTTTAGTATGTTTGTCACTCTCTTGTGACCTGCTATTTCCCAGGGGCCTTGATAGTCGAAGCAGACCTTGTGCTGTTGAAGCTAGAGAGGTGAGCAGAGTAAGCCTGATTCCCTTTAAAGACTTCTCTGTTGACACCACCCCTTGGCGCTCATGTGACCTTATGCTGTCGCTAAACCTCAGTAACGGTGCTCTGTATAAGTCAGCCGACGTCACTTCAGCCTTTGACACGTTGTGCAGAACCGTTCATAGGGTTTTTACTGAGCAGGACATTTTTCCCAAAGACTTTTCAGGAGTTTTCAAGACCAGATTTCTTTTGTCCAAGACAAATAACGTGTCATTTGTTCAACGTGCAAAAATGCATGATGGTACACTTGAGTTTGCGTAAAGTCGAGGCCTTCAAAACTTAGAGGAAATATTTTTACAATAGATCTAAATCTAGTTAAACATTTGTTTTTTCTACATTTTTCCAAGACTTTTGCCAAATCCCAAAATTTCAAGAGTTTTCCATGTCTGGGAAAAAAAAACCCAACATTCCAAGAGTTTTTCAGTTTTCCCTGCACTCCCCCCTCCTC